AACCCCCCCCCCCCCCCCCATCTTGCCCCAGTTTCTTCTTATCCATGAGAAGCAGAGTCGAGGCCCGTCGGAGCTCGCTGGACTAGGATTAGACGGGGTAAGAACCACTCCCTCCTAAACCTCCTGGATCTCAGTTGGAAGCCCCCCCCCCCCCCAAACCCCCCACGTCCCCCCCCCCCCCCTCGGCTCGTCTCCTCGTTGATATTCAAGCTATTTTTACCTCCTTTCTTCTCCTCATATCTCCTCTGAAGCTCCTCGTTCTGCCGATTCCCCGGGGGGGAGAGGAGATTTACAGAAATCCCTCCCCGAGCCGAAGCTCACCAAAACGCCATCAGAAGCCGAGGAGCCGGTTAGAGGCGGCTCTTATCTGACAAGGCCTGCCCCCCCCCCCCCCCCCCCCACCCATGAAAGTGGGGCATGGGGACTGATGGGGGGGCATGCAGAGATGAGGTTTAAATGAAGTCGACAAACGATTATACAGCAATCTGTAGCTTTTGTAACCTTTGACCTTGATTCAACTTGGACCTTGATTCAACTTTGACCTTGATTTTTACCCTGGCCTTGATTTACGACCTTGACCTCGGAGCTGGGGGGCAGGCAGAGTGTGCGCGACTCTCTGTTGCTTCGTTTTGGCTCTTAGTTCGGCAGAAACGACATTTTCTGTGAAAACAAAACAAACAGAAAGGAGAAACTGACACTGAGTAGTTATGCTCAAAGAAGCAGAGGACTAGCTAAAAGCTAACAAGCTAAATGCTATCTAAAAATCAAGAGGTGAATAACTTTAGGTAAAAGCGAAAGTAGCAACCGGCTAGCTAAAATATAAAAGGCTAGCATGGAAAAAAGAAAAGAAAAGGCTTAGAAAATCTAAAAGTAGCAAAAGTATTCCTAAATGTAATAAAAGGTAGTTAAAAGTAGCCAAAAGCTAGTCGGTTTCAATAAAATATTAGCTAGCTAAATGTATTAAAAATTATAGCCTAAAGAAACCAAAGGATATCTAAAAGTAGCCAAAGGCTAGTTAAATTTAATAAAATATTAGTTCAAAGTAGCCAAAGGCAACTACATTTCAGAAGATTAGATAAATTTAATCGAAGGCTAGTTAAGTTTAATAAACGATTAGCTAAATATAGCCA